AGGATCAGGACTACACTGAGACTGGTTCATATAGAGGATCAGGACTAAACTGAGACTGGTTCATAGAGGATCAGGACTAAACTGAGACTGGTTCATATAGAGGATCAGGGCTAGAATGAGACTGGTTCATATAGAGGATCAGGACTAAACCTTGTGTCTGTCTGTAGCAGCTCGTTAACAAGTGAAACAGAAACAAACAAATTGAGTTAAATAGAATTAGCTGAATCGATTACATTCGTGTTAATGTTGAGTTTTAATTAACCCTTTGTTGCTTTTTATGGATCTCAGGGTTCATCACAGCATTTAATCCAGAGTTGTGTAACGCTGTAGTTCTGTCTGAAGGTACTCAACAACGACAGCTCCAAAAATGATATTGTGTAAAAACCTTAATTAGTTAATGCTTTATTTTAATAAGGCTGTTGAAGGCCCTGTCCTTATATCAGCTTGGTATTTGATATATATATAATATCTAAGTGTTGTGATTTCATAGCAGCCTGTACAAAGTCTCTCCCTGTAAGTTATGTAACTGAGTGAAACAGTAGAAGTTCACCATCTAGAGGAATGTAATGGTGGACCTTTATTTAGTTCATTATTCAGTGTTTTCACTCAAATCTACTCACGTCTGGAGTCATAATGAAGCATTTGTTTCGAGTTTTGTCATATCTGGAGTATTGTTCCATGAGCTCCCTGGTTGACGCTGCTTCCTGTTGTCTCAGTTCTTCATGCTCATCCTCTTCATCTTCCTGGCCGAGCTGGCAGCTGCTACTCTGGCGTTCCTGTTCAGGGAACATGTGAGTAAACTCTCCGGATCAGTTCATGAACCTCAATGAAGCTAAAAGTCAAGCAGTGCAGAGGTCAAAGGTTGTGCTGTGACCAGATAGACGATAAATGTAACCCCATTTATTTTACTTTATATATTTATTTTTATTTGTTAATTTATATTATCCTTTTATTTTCCTCCTGCTTTGTTTGTCTTTGATCTTATATTCCTACCTCCATCGCCTGAATGTGTATATATACATATACATATATATATATGTATATGTAGACTGTGAGACTGTTTATGTTTTAAATTGAGATGCATGTGTCTGTGAGGACACAACTGGTTAGATGACTTTATTACTCAGTGTGCCTAAGTACTGGGGGGTCTCGGGGGGTCTGAGACGTCTCCGTTGTTTCTTCAGACGCCCTAAAAAGCCTCAATAGCTAAATTTTCGGCACCTGTAATTTATTGCCGGCGGATAGTTGGCCCACATGATGTTACTGCACCAGCTGTGTGAGCGTTTGGAAACAGATGTTTTCATATAGTTGTGCTGTTGTTAAAGGCGGCCCCCGTTCATGGAGATCTTTTTTTTCCGTGTCTTGATTCTCCGTGGGAACAAAGAGCGAGTAACTGACATAGAAATGATTATTTTTCTTTGTTGGGTGAAGTGTTGCTGTAAGCGTTGGATGGATCCTTGGTGCCTTGTTTCCTGAGCTGTCTTTGTGTCTCTGTCCAGTTGACCAGAGAGTATTTCAGCTGGGAGCTGAAGCGTCACTACCAAGGTCACAACAGCACGGACGTCTTCACGTCCACGTGGAACGCCATCATGACCACGGTGAAGCATCCTTTTACTACCACTGCACTCTACTGTAAGTCAACCCAGTGTTACAACAACACGTCGTATCTCTGCTGCAGTTCGACTGCTGTGGCGTCAGCGGCCCCGAGGACTTCGAGGAGAGCCTCTTCAGGCTCCTCAGCCCCAGCAAGATGGTCCCCGAGGCCTGTTGCCAGAGGAACGACTACCCCGGAGACGTCGGCGTGGAGCAGTGTGTGAGCGGCAGCATGGTCTTCAGACACAACAAGGTCATCACAGAAAACACACACACACACACACATGAGAAATGTACACAAAAGAAAACCTTTCCTTCCTAAAAATGAATCCTGCTTTCAGACGACAGAATGTCTCTCTATCAAGTGGCTTTCTCCCTCGGTCAACTGGACAGAGGAGGGGTGGATGAGATCCGCCCTGAGATGCTGAAGGCGCTGGACATAGTTGGGCTGTCCTGGCTGACACGCCTCTTCAATGTCGCATGGGGGTCGGGATCAGTGCCCATGGACTGGCAGACCGGGGTGGTGGTTCCCATCTTCAAAAAGGGGGACCGGAGAGTGTGCTCGAATTACCGGGGTATCACACTACTCAGCCTCCCGGGGAAGGCTTATGCCAGGGTGCTGGAAAGGAGGCTCCGACCGTTTGTCGAACCTCAGATTCAAGAGGAGCAGTGCGGATTCCGTCCCGGCCGTGGAACAGTGGACCAGCTCTTTACCCTCGCAAGACTACTGGAGGGGTTCTGGGAGTTTGCCCAACCAGTCTACATGTGCTTTGTGGACTTGGAGAAGGCTTTCGACCGGGTCCCTCGGGGGGTCTTGTGGGGGGTGCTGCGGGAGTATGGGGTGCCGGACCCGTTACAACGGGCGATCCGGTCTCTGTACGACTGCAGTAGGAGCTGTGTCCGCATTCTCGGCAATAAGTCAGACACGTTCCCGGTGGGTGTTGGCCTCCGCCAGGGCTGCCCTTTGTCTCCGGTCCTGTTCGTGACTTTCATGGACAGGATATCTAGGCGCAGCCTGGGGGCGGAGAACGTCAGTCTCGGGGGTCTCGGGATCGCCTCTCTGCTGTTTGCAGATGATGTGGTCCTGTTAGCCTCCTCGGATCGTGACCTCCAGCATTCACTGGGGCGGTTTGCAGCCGAGTGTGAAGCGGCGGGGATGAGAGTTAGCACCTCCAAATCTGAGGCCATGGTGCTCTGCCGGAAACTGGTGGATTGCTCCCTCCAGGTGGGGACGGAGTGCCTACCTCAAGCGAAGGAGTTCAAGTATCTCGGGGTCTTGTTCACGAGTGAGGGTAAGATGAAGCGGGAGATCGACAGGCGGATCGGTGCGGCTGCAGTAGTAAAGCAGGTGCTGCACCGGACCGTCTTGGTGAAGAGGGAGCTGAGCCGGAAGGCAAAGCTCTCAATTTACCACTCGGTCTACGTTCCTACCCTCACCTATGGTCACGAACTCTGGGTCGTGCCCGAAAGGACAAGGTCGCGGCTACAAGCGGCCGAAATGAGTTTCGTCCGTAGGGTGGCCGGGCTCAGCCTTAGAGATAGGGTAAGGAGCTCGGTCATCAGGAGGGAGCTTGGAGTCGAGCTGCTACTGCTTCGCGTCGAAAGGAGTCAGCTGAGGTGGTTCGGGCATCTAATTAGGATGCCTCCTGGACGCCTCCCACTGGAGGTTTTCCAGGCACATCCAACTGGGAAGAGACCCCGGGGAAGACCCAGGACACGCTGGAGAGATTACATCTCCCAGCTGGCCTGGGAACGACTCGGGATCCCCCAGAATGAGCTGGAACATGTTGCCGGTGAGAGGGAGGTCTGGGTCAGCCTGCTTGACCTGCTGCCACCGCGACCCGCCCCCGGATAAGCGGTGGAAGATGGATGGATGGATGGATGCTTTCAGACGACAGACTGTCTCTCTATCAAGTAGCTTTCTCCACACGCCTCTCATCACGTGACCATGTTCAGCTGCTCGTGCACACTCCCGTGCTCTCCACGCGGTAGTGGCAGCCATACAAACATAAAAAAGCTCCTCCGTCCTCTATATCTCTCCTAAACTCTTCCCCCAATTGTGCAGCAGCCTCTGCAGCCTTTTGTCAGCTGAGAAGCTGAAATGTACAGAAACATTTCATCTCATTCTGCTTCCGTTCTGCAACTATTCTCCTACTTTCATGTATCTTTAAATCTAACTGTAGCTGTATGTGTGAGGGGACATTTGGCTTTATTTGTCGTAGTTGTGACTCTTGTCAGAACTCTTTTGTTATTTCAGCAATCCAGCTCCAGTGGACCGGGTTTACTATGTCAATACGATGTACGGAGAGTATGTATATTTAAAATATGACACAACTGAAGCCCTGAACATCACCCATAGTATCTCCATGCAGAAGATTCACACGTTGGTAACAGTTAAGTTTAGACAGCACAAATGCATAACGATGGGACAACATCGGGTATTAAAAGCTGGTTTCATCCGGCACTCGTAGCTAAACCTATAAAAAATCATGTTAAATCTTAATCTGTAAAGTAACAGCAATGATAGTTCTGAAGTACAGCAACAAATCTAAACTTTCAATTAAAATAGAAGTACAACTACCTCAAAAATTATGAATTAGACAACTAAATTACTCCAAGTAATAAGAGTATTTGTAAGTGTTTTTATCAGAGTTACATTTATTTTTTTTAGTTAAAAAATATCCTAGAGTTAAATAATTAAACACAATTGATATTTATATATTTTTCACTAAAGTTGTTCTCTTCATATCTGTGTGTGTTTGACTCTCACAGGGCTGTTACTCTGCGATGGTCGACTACTTTGAGATGTACATTTACACAGCAGGAGCTCTGGCCATCGTGGTGCTGACAATTGAAGTATGTTTTCTTACTCCTTTATATTTAAATACTGAATCAAATATTGCTTTTTGTTCCTTCATGTGAGGGATTCAGGGCAGCCATGTTGATTTTTTTTTTACATGACTAGAAAACATGTAGACTGAGGTTGAAAATATCAACATTATATCTAAGAAGGCTTTGACCGTTGGCCATGATGTGTCTCCAGTTTTATAATTATGCAGTAAATGTTTTATCAGCCATTCATGAACGTTTGTAAATGTGAATTAATGGGATTTGTGATTGATTCATTTCTTTGACAGTTCCCTGTAGAATGCATGTACAGCACTGAATGACAAAGGTCATGTTTTAAAGGCTCATTATGTTCTAGGAATATAACGGCGAGGAGCCACGTTGAGACTCGTCTCGTTCTCTCCGCAGCTCTTCGCCATGGTGTTCGCCATGTGTCTGTTCAGAGGCATCCAGTAACGGCTGCGTCCGCACGCAGCATCGCCGCCGGCCGTCGGAGAGGCACCAGCAGAAGGAAAACAGAAACTGTAAAATATGGAATGTATTTGTACAGCGATAGCTTATGTGTCTCATTGGTCTTGTGATATCATCTTGTACTTCACAGCAGCAGCAGCAGTGTTTGACGTACTGCTTTGGGCACAATAGACACACACAGGACCTGAGGTTCTGTACTGTTTTTCTCAAAAGTACAAGATTAACTCTGGTGCTGAGAGGTTCTACGAGGTGAACACGGAGAGCAAACTGACGTATCGGTCATCACTTCAGTCCAGCACCAATGGAAGTCCTGGAAAACACACGATTATAACGGTGATTTGGCCACGATGATAAATAATCCGGATCCTGGAGAGTTCAGGTACAAACAGCACACGGTAACTTGCAGGGAGCCTCAGAAAAGTCACAGCTGTCGGGATTATTAGGACAGAAATGTGAATCAACAACAGAAAGCAGAACCCTGTTGGGCCTCATGCAAGAACATCTTTGTATTCTCATCCTAAACCTTTTTACTGTGAGGTTTTATTGTTCCAAAACTTCACTAATGTTGTTTATCGCTCGTTTGGACTTGATGAACGTCTCTTGTTCGTGAGTAGAATCAAAATCTCTTCATAAGGCCACAAACATATCATACAAGACTACAAATAAGAACCTCACACGGACAGAGATCAGCAGACGAAAACCTTAGAGCAGAGCCGGACTGTACATGAAGGAGGGACGGTCCGACATAACATAAGATGAATCCTTTATTAGTCCCACAGTGGGGAAATCTGAAGGATTACAGCAGCATATGGTATAGTGCCAACAAACAAACAAGAGACAGAGGAAGAAAAACAAGTATAATAGACACGTAATTACACAGTAAAGATGTAATAAATAAGTTTAAAACATGAAATGGTCCGACTGAAAGGTTAATATTGCACAGAGGATGTAACAGATTATTTATATTGCACAGTGTATACATTGTATACAAATAAAGAAAGAAATCTTGTTGTAGCCGTGAAGTGGATCCAGACTCAAACATCATCCAGGAAGGCTCCTGGATGGTTCCTGCTATTATTCCTCTGATAGGGTTCCTACACATTTTCCTTTTGAAAAGTCCAGACGCTCCAAATGCCTCGAGAAACACTCTGAATTTTATAAAACAGAATAAGATCCATATAGTCCAGAGACATGTTTACATACTGTCTGTTTTTCACACTTATTCTGAAAATCTAATTCCATGTATGAAAAACCTGAAAAATGAGAAGAAAACAAAGTAAAATATCCTGGAAAATGAGTTCAACATTCTCCCTACGGTGAGAATAAACTAAGTTATTAATCAAAAATGGAAACATTGCCGTCTGAAAGGACGAAGTTCACCATCTTATTAATGTTGAAAGGGGAGTTTATGGACGACAGTATTTTCATTATGTTGAAACGCTGTGAACACGCAAAACTCTAAACGCTATAACATTTATAAAATGCAACAAATTCTCTTGTTGGTACAAGAAGTTCTTGAATGAGGCTCAGTTTCAACAGCACAAGTCACAAATCATTAAACGAGTCTCTTCACAGTCAGGACTTATAAATAATGTTTGTTTACAAGAGTCCGTACACTCGTGCAGAGTTCAGTGCAAAGTATTACAGAGTGTTCGGTGTTTAAGTTTGTGGAGGAGCTCCTGTTAATGAATGAGTGAATTGTGTTTATATGTAAATATGTGCCGGTGTACAGTGAGTGTTCCTCTTTGTGCCGTGTGATGATGTCCTCAGCAGTTACATAAAGATAACATTTTACTGTGATTTGAAAACTCCAGTTGATTTGTATAAATGGCTCTCACTGATATTAAACTGGTTTCTGTGATTTTAGTGTTGTGACGTTTAATTTATCTTTTCTCTTATTACCGTTTATTAAATGTTGAATATCTAACTTTTCCACATTAAAATGTCTAAAAAGAATGTATTGTGAGGAGTTGAGTTCTTACATTGTCCTAAATCTGTCCAACAATTTTCAAACCTGAGAAATCTGTCATTTTGACGGATGTCGCGTGTTAAACAGCGTCACATCGTTAGCGTTGAGGTTGTTAAACTGACTTTATTCAGTTTTAATACAGTTTTTTTTAAGATACACTTTGTATTGGAGTTTTTCTAACCGGATGAAGGATTTTAGTCACCAGACGTCTGGACCTTAAGTCATCAGAGAAACCAGCTGAGCTAACGTTAGCATCTTTAGCTCGTCTCTCAGCTCCTCCAAGACGTCCTGCGTCGGAGAAACACAGATTTTAAATGTGAAGCTGCTTCATTCGGTGTTTTAATCAGAAGAGAAGAACGATGAACACTGAAGGAATCCTAACAGGGAGAAAAGGACATATGTAGCGTTTAATATCGACCCTTCTTCACAGGTGAAGGCCTCCGCGTGGACACGACTGATGCGTCGATTTTTCCTTTTCATTTTATTTATTTGAATGGTTTTTAGGCCCTTGAAGATGTGAACATATTCAGTATTTCATTTTTTTTTTTAACTGGAAAGTTGCACTCAGTAGAATGTCTGATTACATGAACACAACCCACAACTGGCCAACCTTCCAACTTTAAAGAGATTAGACATGGACAGACATCGAGGTGCACTTTCACTCACTCACAGACAGAAACTTTACAGTTTCATTCTTATCTATATTCTGATTGGAAATATACTGTGTGTACGTATGTATGTATGTATGTGTGTGTATATATATATATATATATATATATATATATATATATATATATAGAGAGAGAGAGAGAGAGAGAGAGAGAGAGAGAGAGAGAGAGAGAGAGAGAGAGAGAGATTATATAGAGATTGTGTCACTCTCCTGTAAAAAAGTTTAAAATCTTATCCTCATTTCAGCCATCTTGTGGCGAGTGTATGTGGGCTGTTTCTGTTGACTCACTCTGTGAAACTCTTCTGGTCGCTCAGTTATTATAAAACAAAAACATAAAACATCACATGACAAGGAGTCTTGTGATGCCTGGCAACCACAGAGTCAGCTTGTCATCTGATATAACTGAAAACAGAAGTGATAGGAGGCCGGCGTGGGTTCTGGACTTTGTGCTGCAGGTTCTTGATATTCCCGAATGATGTTCATGTGTTCAGGAGTTTGAACCTGTGGACTGAATCCGTCACCAAATGAGGAGAACACCTCTGGACCAGACGGGCACGGCTCTCTACCTCGGACTTGTCCTGTCACATTTGGTCGGAGAAGGTGCGTTCAATGACACAAAGAATCAGGTGTAATTTAACATGTAGAGATGCACTTTTTTAGATAAAAGTATCAACCTGTATATCGGGGATCAATTTCCTTTTTCACAAGAACTGACTGGCTTCAATTTTGTTATTCTGTAAAAAAGAAATACTATACTTGAGTAAAACTTAAGGTACTTGTACTTTACTTCTATTGTATGCAACTTTCTACTCCACAACATGTCATAAGTAAATGTACTTTTTACTGTACTACATCTCAGAGGTAAATATTGTACTCTCTACTATGGTACATTTGTCTGATAGCTTCAGTTACTTTTCAGATGTTTTTCATCCCCTTCCTGTGGCAAAAGTTGCGTTTACTGACACAAAGATTCAGCATAACATGTAGAGAGTGTCTTTTTGGGACCAGAACCAGGACTGAGAGGAGCAGACTGTCAGACCCTGCTGCAGTAGAATGAGAGGTTTTCTAAAGAGACTCTGGTGCTCAGAAACACTACCACTTTAGGCCACAGGGACCGCCAAAATCACCACAAAATGAAAGTTCCTTGTAGTAGCTTTAAGTACTTTAAGTACATTTTGCTGGTATACTTTTACTGAAGTGAGGTTTTGAATGCAGGACTTATTTGTAGTGGAATTATTCTCATACTATTAAAAGAGGCTAAAAAGCGGCACATGGCTGCTGAGTTAGAGATACTTCTCAGTGTGTTTGTCACTACCGATGACCTCTCTGACCCTCTGTCACCAGGCAGTGTTGTGAAGGTGCTCTGCCGGCCTGGTCAGCGGGTCACTTTGCCGTGTTTGTACCACTATGAGGACCACGCTCACATCTCTCAGCTGTCCGTTCAGTGGAGGAGCCCCAACAACGAGCTGCTGTGTCACTACATCAAACACAAGGCCTACCAGAACTGCACGGCGGGGTACGCCGTCACCTACAGCCCCGGCAGCATCACGCTCACCGTCCAACGCGTCGACACGCGGGACTTCGGGGCTCACGTTTGTTCCGTCAGCAAACCGCACGAGTTCTCCGATTACAGCGTGGAGCTAGCCAGGATGTCAGGTGAGAGTGACAGGTGAGGGGGCGGGACGTTTGTGTGAGCTGTGAGGTAACAGGAAGTGTTTGTTTTTTCTTTAGAGTCGGTCACTTCAGCACCAAAGAGTGGAGGGAATCAGTCAGGTGAGTTTCTCTGAACTCTGCAAACGTATCAGTGTTAAAGGGCTTTTTCACCCACATTTCACACATCAAGTTCTTGTCCTTTTAGTTTAATGCAGGCGGCAACCTCTGGTTCTTCCGCGTTGGCTTCACTTTTCAGAACCGGTGGTTAAACATAGCGAATCATTTAGCAGCTGAAGAGACAGATATTCCCCTCAGGAGGTGGTGGAGACCACAAACAGAGCTAAAAGAGGGAAAACATTGGACTTACATTCATCAGGTGACACAAAAACAAAAACTCTGAATTAATGATCATGTTGCTGCTGGATTTGTAAATAGGCCACTTCACCACATCAACTTAGAAGGTGATGATGATATGTCAGCAGTGCTTTGAGCTGGATGAAAAGTTAAAAGATCACTAAAGTCGTCACAGTTAATACCAACGGAGACAGGAATGTGTGGACCAAAGTTCTTTTGCAATCCATCCAATAGTTGTTGAAATATTTTGGTCTGGACGGACCCACATCCATAGAGCGACGGGGCTCAAGAAGGCTCAGTCATTTCCTGTAGTTTATAAACAAAGAATTACTCAAACAGGAAGAAATGTTGCATCTGTTGGCACAGATGATTACCATAAATATCAGGACTTGATGCTCACACAATACTTGATACATTCATTGTTGGTTTGGGATTTTTACTTTATTGACAATAAGAAAAATATACAATAATGTCCGATTGATCTTTTAAGAAGTCTTGATTTCCTCATGACAGTTGGTGTTGCCAGGTTGTTTGTCCTCCTTATAAAACATTCAATCATTTATTAAAGAATTTTAAAAAAGCTTTCACTGAACATAATGTGTACAAACTAAATGAATATATACTTTTATCTTTTCAGGTGTCACCTGGACACTCGTTCTCCTCCTCACGTTGTCACTGTTTGTTTGCATGTAGAGATGAACAGTAGAAACATATTTACTGTATTTATTCAATGAATGTTGAAGTTATATAGAAATTAAAAAGAAAAATACTGTAAATCTACACAGAAGCTACACGTGTCTTAAATAAATAAAATCTGTGATGGAATGAGATGTTGGGTTAAATATGTGTGTGTGTGTGTGTGTGTGTGTGTGTGTGTGTGTGTGTGTGTGTCGTGTAAGCGGACAGACGGCGGTATCCTGGTGTTTGTTGGACCCACCACGTTTTTACGTTGGCCACCATAGTTCTCTGACTCGCTTGTCAAACAGAAGTTTCCGTTGTTTGCAATCTGCAACGTCACCACTAGATGGCCCCAAAGTTAAAACTACGTACAAGACGTTTTACATGAAATACTTTCTCATGCAGTTTGTGTCAGCCGGTGGTCTCTCTACCATCACATGTCTAGAAAACACAGGTTTGAAAATCACTTCTAAACTTTTCATTTAAACTCAAATACAATGCATGTTTATCTGTCGCTGTTTGAAACCCTGAAGTGGAAACTAAAAACATAAATGCATGTGAAATATATAATGTTCAGAAATCACTTTAAACTTTTGTAAGGAAAATAAAATCTGTGTAAATGTTCCACACATTTGTAGATCTAAAGAAAACGTGTCTTCTCTCACACACTCTGGAAAATTAAAGCCCACCATTGAGATTCACATTTAAATTCCCCGGTTCAAAACTATAAGGTTCAACTTTTTCTTTCCGATTTCAGTCATTGTTTGACAACATTATTAAGAAATTCTTTAAATGCTGTTTTCATGTTTGCACTCGCAGCCAAAAAAGAAACAGAAATATACTCTTATATATATATTTTATAGCTTTTATGTGTTTTCTATAACAAACTCAACTATATTTGAAAGGCAGGCTGTAACATCAAAAGGATCCTCTCGATGGTGACGTCGTCCCAGTCTGCTCCTGAGAACCTGAAGCAGTCAGACAATGAAAAGCAGCTGAAGGGGAACAGAACATTAAAGCTGAGGAGGAAGCAGTAAATCAGCTGCTTTGGTCTGTTTAGCCACAAAAAGATAGAAAACAAATCATCCAGGCGTCGCGTTAATACGTAAATAAGTAATGTTCAGGTTCAGATATTACTACTGAGTCAACTGAGTCGACATTTACTTAAAATAAACTAGTGCACCTTTACACTTTTCTTTTCGTCATCAAATCAAACAAAAGACCAGAAGAAGAAATGTGTTGATGAGTGAAGCTCATTGATGTGTTTTAATGGAGCTCTGTGGAGTAGAGGAAGAACATATATCAGGTTGTGATACACACAATACTTGTTATTAGATAATTTCACTGTCGGTTTCTGGATTTGTTAACAACATAAATATTTATCACCAGACTTTTCCCCTCAAAGCTGCATTCATTCATGTTTCTGTCCACTAGGTGGCAGACAAACATCAGGACAAACAAGCTTCCACCACGTTATTGTGTAACTCTGTGAGTTCATCGTGACCTCTTTTCACATTACACAAGGCCACTTTAATCAATGTTCCCATCAAACATATGGATTAATGAGAAGCCTCATTTAGTCTCATTCAGGGTCAACACAGCTCTCCACAGTGACGTAAACATTAACAAGCATCAAACAGGGATTCCACTTTAAACAGCACACAGAGCAGCGGCCTGTGAAGAGAATCCTGTGGATGTTTGGATCGGTTTAATATGTCACTAGTTTTACATATGTGAGAACTTAGACACACACACACACACACACACCAATCAAAAGAAGAATGGCGTGTCTTGACAAACGTATAGCTGCTGTCACGATAAGGCTTGTAAAAGAAAACCTGTTTGTGTGGATCAGGTCTGTTTGATGTTTTATCTGCGTCTGCAGAGCCCAAGTCGTGGCACGATAAACAGCCTTATGTCAGCAGCAGTACGCGGGTTTCCTGAGGACGACCTGGACGCAGGCCAGAGCTGTGAGCTAAACCTCATGTTCTATATATGCAGAGCAGCATGCCTCCGCGGCTCAGACCTATGGCACAGCTAGCTGAGCGTTTCCGGTCAAATGAGGCGAGTCCAACGGTTTATGTCCCAGAGTCAGTTTAGTTTTTCTGGGAAAAGATGAAGTGAAATTAAGGGATCAATTCTTTAGCTCGGTACTCTGTGTGACTTATAGCTGTACGGAGAGCAGAGGCCTCATGTGAACTGTGGCAGGCTGCAGCACGTATGGAAAACGTTTCTCCTGCGTCCTCTTTCAAAAATGTACTTTTTATTTACTCAATACTTTGACTAAAGGGTTCTCTTAAAAGATAAGAGAATCCTTTATTTGTCCC